TGACCACAACTCGAATAGTATTGTAACTTCTCTGCGTAACAGAGATTAAGCGTTTAGTGGTCTTCAACACAGTACTCACTCTTGAAAGGCACCTCGATATAGATCTTTTTCTTGGCAACTGTATGCACCAATTAGTTTGGGCGTCGCTGTTGGCTGTATTTCCTTAGAAATCTGTGAGGGTAAGCATTCGTCATGAGCGTCATTGTAATTAACTCTAGCTCGTCGGCCAGACAATCAGCCTAGCAAATTAGTCTATCACCAGTGACTAAACTTTTCACGAGGATCCGCTTGCCCCGCACTGGTGTGAAGTTGTTGAAGTGCAGGTATTGGCCGGATCATGTTGTTTTTCAGTAGACAGACCTCTTAATGAGTCCGTCATAACCTGCGACTGATAAGGATGTCCAAGGGTGGCAGACAATCCTTCTGTTCCACTTCGCAGGTGACCCGAAAGTTAGTATGTAAACTGTTTAGCTGCTGCTTCGACAAACAGAAGCCAATATGTCATCCACCTAATGCTTATAGTATGACTGTTTGGTCATTTTTGTAGATACATATCCTTCTATCATCCGTATGAAGAAATCGGGGAGTACAAGGCTCAGTGGGCTACCCATTGCCAACCCATCGCTTTAGCGGTATGGCGTGTTCTGAAGTGTCAACATTCTGTTGTACCCCTTGGTCAATAGTTGAGAGACGAGACTGACATTACTTCAAACATTTACTAGAACATACGGAAATTACAACTAACCCAGGGAACACAACATACGCTAACACATGTCCAAGCACGCGCACTCGATACCAATCTATTTTCCTTTGCCATTTAATTGGTTGAAGGTCTGAAAGTCTGACTCTAACACCTTCCTTGGTTAAAAAGGTTGCACATAAGACCTTTTACTTGGAATGACACTCAGTCGCCTAATTGGGGTGCGCGTCCGTGCATAATATTTTTTTCAATTTCCACAGCTTTGCTCACATCAGCATGTTGCTTTGGTTGGGGTTCCATTGTCCTAGATGAAGCCAATGCATTCAGAAGAACCTGCAAAAGATCTCTGTCGTGTCTTGCACTTAACTTGTTCGGGTGTATAACGAAGATTGACGTGCTTCACATGACGTGCACTCAAACGATTTTGACAGTCCACTTCATATATGACATCGCCTTTTCTTGCTTTAGCAATTCCGGGAATCCAAGGTTAATGTGCATCTCTGAAATTGCACATAAAGACTTGGTCACCGGAAGGAAAGCATCCTATGCGCGTACTGTGTTAACGAGTGAACTGCTTTTCCATTTCCTGGTCACGTTCGTTAGCCTCCTTTGTTTGAAACATGGCAGCTAACGGCGTACGTAAACGTCTACAGCCAGAAACGCTTGTTACAATGAACGTGACGCATACGGCCCACATGACAACAAATGTGACCAATTCTGCCCTAGGTGAGTCCTCAGTTTGACAAGTCTGCTATAAGCGATCACTGTTTGGATCATGGTTTACACTGAAGCAAAGGTCGACCGATGCGATCATCCAAGCACTTTCTCGCCCTTTAAAGATGGCACAGGTGTTGTGTTGTCATCGAAATAACTTCACCACAAATGAATTTCCTTAACTCTAAATTGTGCTATGTTACTTCCCGTCGACGCCATTTACTGTTAGTTCTTTATTTCCCTTTGCACTCTTCACCTGTCAATTTTCCTTCGGCTTCTGCTGATGTAGTTGCAGCAATTTTCCTTGTCCCAGACTTGGTTTTACTTCATAGATTTCCACTTACCTATATCATCCACCGGTGGTCAAGCCCCCATGTGATGGTTGTTGTCTGTTCTGCTGGCTAACAGACTGCTGGTACCGAGTTGGTTATGTTCCCCCTTGCTTAGTGTCTGTCGGTCTTTCTGACCTCAGCTTGTATTACAGCTACCAAGACTGAAGTCCACAGGCTGTTAGTTTGATTCACGCTTGCACCACCTTCTCAATTTGTATTTCACGTTCAGTTGCCTGAGGAATCCAACCATCGAGATAAATGATAATGGGTTGCAGTGGTGGGGCCAGCACCAAGTGAGAATTAACTGCTCATAAGCGATCGCAGGGATCGAACTGATAAAGAGTTACTTTAATGTAAACCGAAGGCTAAACAATAGTTTACCTGTGTTGTTTGTTTCCGAAAATGTTGATAGTGTTTGAAGCTTTGGATATGCGGAACATTTCAACCGCTCCCTTAGGTATGGTATTCATCACCATTTCTCCCATTAGCTGACAGTAGGACAAAGTCATCTGCTCCATGGACGAAAAGTCTTTTGCCACTCGCTCGTAATTAACTATCATTCCTAAGTTCCACTCTTCAGTTGGAAGTCAGGGCAACTACTGAAAACTACCGTGCTACTGCAGATGGATTTTGCCCTCCTGAAAACACTGCGCTGTTGTTTGGCCAGTGTGCTTGAATAGATGCTCGGACGGTATCCAGTGAGCATCTAACTACCATCTTCGGTCTTGCAAACGAAAAGCCCATTAAAACAGGCTACAGACCTGACATAGTCAACAGGCAGCGCTCGTTACCTTAATAGCACAGAGACGTGCGACTTTTAGACTGCAGTCAATATAAAATAACAGTGAAATACCGTGGGCAGCATTGCACTGGACGACGAATCTGATCGCTCGCTGCTGTACGTAGCCCCCTGGGAAGGATATCAGCTGACAAAGCACGCTAGCGCAAAGTATTTTGGCGCGGTGAAACAGTTGTTTGTCGCCGGCACGATCATGTCATCAAGCTGACGGGTCAGGAAACTGCCTGACCCGCAGAATTAATTTCAACTAGTCCCATCACGACAAACATCAACGCACATAAAGAGACTTCGGATTACTGGAGAAACTCTACCAAACAGACAAGAAAGCAGTGCAGTTGTTGACATTTAGTAGGTAGAGAAAACTAATGACGACACGAAGGTTTGTGTCGTAATCAGCGTCTTCGGTTGTCTGATTTACCTGTCACTGACTACAAACATCTTCGTGCTGACTGCTGTTACATAGACATACTAGGTGAGTAACATCTCACCGGAAGCCAGCGCACAGATTTAAAATCCCGTACAAACGTGAAGGAATAAAGAGGATGTAAGGGACGGAAACACGATCTCATTGGTGTCAGACCGCTTCGCAAGTTTTAGTGACATTATCGGATGAGTGAACAGATTTGGGTACGATTCGATTTGGTTCATCGCAGTTAGCTTCCAAGCCGCATGGGTAAGCTACCAACCCGAAAAAGTACCAGACGCGCGTTTTGCCCTATTTGGGCTCATCAGTGGTGTACATACATCAGTCCCCTATTGGGGATCGAACCCATGACCGCTAGAGGCTAACGCCAACTAGCCAGCAACTTTTGCCACTAAGCAATGGGGGACGACATCCGACAATTACGCATTGAAACCTAACTGCAATATAGCCCGACCGATTCTCCATTGCCGTGCAGGCGACAGTGGTTGGACGTCACAGTCAGGTGATCCCTTGCCAGCGCCGCAAATGCAAACAGCAATTTCGAATACCAGTAGGGCTTGAATTATTACTTACCACTGTCCTCTGCACGCGGCACTAACCTGCACGGTAGTGGAGGATGGGTCGGGCTATATTACAGTTAGCTTTCAATGCGTAATAGTCAGCTGTCGTCCCCCATTGCTTAGTCGCAAAAGCTGCTGGCTAGTTGGCGTTAGCCTCTAGCGGTCATGGATTCAATCCCCGATAGAGGACTGATGTGTGCATACCACTGACGAGCCCCAATAGGGCGAAACGCGCGTCTGATGCTTTTCCGGATTGGTAGCTTACCCATGCGGCTTGGAATCTACTTGCGGTGAACCAAATCGAACCACCTAGATTTTATTCCTTGTAATGTCGGTTGTCTTCTACAAGGGTTCACAGTCGCATTTTTGCGCCTGTCCACTCTATTCATGACCTCACCCTATCGCCACGTAGCAAATGGGTGACCCGCTCCGGGCAGCATGTTTTCCAAAAGAGGTGTGAAATATTTGGAAAAAATAAAAAAGCCTACAAAAGTCCTGAAAGTGTTCATAAATAGATAGTTTAAGATTGCAGTGTGGTACTGCTTTCAATCGTCTTCCTACATAGCAGCGTCTGCTTTGTGTCAAGGGAAAATAACCATTCTTGGTTAAATTTGCCCCTTCTATATCAAAGGATAATACTCATTGCTTTATACTATCCCAGATCATCTATTTTATTCTTAAAGCTAGAAACCCCTTTTCATATGTTCCAGCATAATCACCTAAGATTTCAAAGACGATACCGCAGTGGAGAGAATGTAGAGTGTCTCAGCAAGAAGACAGGGTGATGGAGCGCCATTGTAATTCCTCAAAAGTACTTTGCAACCAACGGGGTGCAAGAGAAAACCCATAATCATGCTAAGAATAAGGATGACAATGCTGACATCGACCTCGGTATTGCGAAAGGGTAGATTGCAAGTGTTGGTGCAGGAAAATCCGTCAGTCATGTTCGTGAGGCTGAATTTTCGCATATGTATAGTCGTATTGTGAGAAATATTGCTGCGTTCCAAAATTAGCCAACTGATTACGGTTGCATTAAAGAAACTATTTTTTGGTTCCAGCTTACATGCGGTCAGTAGGAAAGAAAAGCCTACAGCCACCGCGGGTGGCATGAACAGTTTCTAGGCTCCTAATCTAAGACAAGATATTACCAAGAAAATTACCTTATTGCTTGAAAATAGCTCAGTTTTTATCATTATTCTCACACCAATGCCACTCAGCAATCGTTGTGCAGTCTGTTTAGTGAGGTAAATGCATCAGTTGCGAGAGATAAAGATATGGGGCAAATATGTCATACCTATACCATATCTGTATGGTTGTCAGATGTATGAGTTTATCAAATGAAGGATAAAGGCAGAAATTTTTGACAGTCTCGAATGCTCAACTCCAAATTAAGCAAAAATGTAAGTGCACATAACTTTTTCTAGGTCAGTGGCCACTTTAGCTTACAGTTCAAAAATGTAACCGTGTTTACTTGGATCAGTTTTGCCACATAGCTTTCAGGTCCGGTGTACTGTGTTGAGGGTTTCAAACGAAGATGGATTATGAAGAACACGTACTGCCATATGTTATGTTCCCGTTCCACATGTTCTCCAAAACTGCGGCCGTATTTTTCAAACACCCCTCTCTGGAGCCCTAGAGAGAGATTAAAAGAGTAAAGAGAATCTGAGACCGCTTAACAAGGAAACATCAGACGAGGTGGTAAGCACCATATGGGCCCACACCTAGCTTTTGTCTTCACATTTAACACCCCGCTCTCGACACCTTCACAAACACTGGACCTCTGACGGCAGTCGTTAGAATTTCATTGAAAGAAGCAAATTAGGCTCTGACTGATCAGTGAGCAAACTCTCGATACGATAATGGCGAAACACAGGGTAATGTTCCCCGGTATGTCCTCATATTCTGCCTGTCAAGCATGCGGTAATTGCTGTTGATACCAGCACTCTGGTTCTCATGCTATTTGTTGCGTCTTACATTTCCTGGCAGAGTGGGGGCTTATGGCAAGTTGCCGTCGCCCTTTAATATCTCCAGCGGCGTGAGACAAGGATGCCCGTTGTCACCTGTCCTCTTCAAGTTCGCCATTGATGAAGTCATGGAAATTGCGTTCACAGGACATGGCTTAGAAGGTATGGATCTGCTCCCAGGAGAGCGACTTCTTGACTTAGCGTATGCTGATGATATTGCCCTAATCTGTGACAGCTCACAAACGTGCCAAGCGGCAGTGGACTGATTAACATTACCTGTCCGTCACTTTGGGCTTTGCTTCGCACCCTCGAAGTGCAAAGCATTCCTCCAAGATTGGCCTGAACCGCCTCCTTCGCTGACCGTTGGTGGGGATCAGCAAGAAGTCGTTCAAAAATTCAACTACATGGGAAGTTGTATCAGCGCCCGTGGAATTGAAGATTAGATCATGAAGCGTATAGCAAGAGTTCGAGGCGCTTTTGCTAACCTTTGTCACTTATGGCGGCGGCGCGACATCACTCTCACCCGGAAGGTTAGAGTGTACAGTGCAGCGGTACGTCCGACCCTACTGTGCGGTTGTGAAACCTGGCCCCATAGATCAGCGGACATAAAGAGGCTAGTTATGTCCGACCGCCGGTGCCTTCGTAATTTAGCTCACATCTGGTGGGAACACCGCGTGGGCATCGAGCGTGTTCGACGCCTTGTTTATGGCACAGGAAAAGGAACTGAACCGCTCAGCACCGTTATTTCACGCACCAGGCTCCGATGGATCGGCCACGTGTTACGCATGCCAGCCCACCGATTCCTGCAACGTGCGTTGTTTGCGCGCCGGGGGTGTGGATGGAAGAAGAGAAGAGGTGGCCAAACGATGACTTGGTCCAGAGGAATGAAGGCCCTCACTTCGAAGCTGGCCTCGGTTGGAGCGTCTCGGCTCCCTGGTTGGGGTCAGAAAGACGATGAACACGTTTGGCTGGATACACTTGTTGATATGGCTAGGAGCCGATCTCAGTGGCGTTCGTGCTGTGAGTTTCTTTGTCCCACCCCCTCCCTCTTAGCCTCCCCCTCCAATCACGATCTCATTATTTAGCATTTTATAATTTTGCATAGGAAAGTTTTGTTTTTTTCTGCTGCATATTAGCCGATTAGTAACTTGCCGGAACGATGCCCATCCGTTACCGGTAGCTCCGCTGGCTTGCGCCTGTTGCATTTCATTCCCTTTTTCTTTTAGTTATTGCGGCCCGTAGCTAACGTGTCTAGTTTGTGTGTGTGTGTGTGTGTGTGTGTGTGTGTGTGCAGGTGTTGGAACACACGCCTCGTGTTCTGGATTGTGACTCATAATCATGGCGAAGGCCGCCAAAGAGTATGTTCTAAGTTCTTCCCCTCAACTCAGGCTATCTCTGCCTAATGTTCCGAACAAGGACGAAACGCGTACTGGTGTGCAAATAGGGGAGGTTGCAAAACCAAAACCTTCCGCTTCGGATACAGTTCCAGTGATCGGAATGGCAGAGATTCGCTTCATAGTCAACCGAGGTCACAAATGAGACTGCGTGTCGCAATTGAAGACACACGGCGGGTGCTTCAAAACGTAGGGCAACGAAGAGCGTCAGAGGTTTGACCAGCCTCCCCTACCCACTCAGGCTGAAGATACACAAAATATACAGTGGACATTATCGGCATCTAAGGGGCGATCTCATAATGGTGTACTAGCTCCTGAGAAACCCCAACCACCCATGCCATTCCCTTCTAACACTCAGTCAAAACACCACGCTAAGAGGTCACCAGTTTATGTTAGTCACGCGGTACAGCCGCCTGGAATGTCGGCGAAACTATTTCTCCCTTCGAGTGGCACAGCCTTAGAACGCTCTCCCGGAACATGTAATTAATGCAACCACCCTATCCCTTTTCAAAAAACGCCTTGACGATACCCTGTCACATTTACACTATGGGCTATAGCTCATGACCACCAGATACTGGAACTAATACACAACAGACAGGGGATAGTGCCATACCCCTACTCGAGAACGAGTCATTCCAAATGCCTTGCACAAAATTTGATAAACGCTACTACTATAGAAACTGGATTTCTGTATCCTGTCGACCCAAGGTAGTTGCACACGAGTAAGCGTTGTCCTTGCTATCTTTTTTATTTTTCTGGCCTATGATGTGAACAATAACCACTCCCCTGTTGCTTTGTGTGCGTACATTCTCATTTCAAACTCCATTTATACGGCAGTGCAGTTACATCTGTAAGCGCCCGAACTGAAGACTCCATTATCCCTTCGCTACGGGACATGTCAAGCATCTGCTTTTTTACCCGTTATAAATCATTGTTCATTGTTATCTATCAACTTCTAACCGCGGTGTCAAGCACTGCTCGCGGAACTCTTGTATCCTGGTGATAACCACCAATGACTATGTGCCAAGTTCCACTTCCAGCTCATGCTATCTACCTGAGGAGTCTAAACAATGATTAAACGCATCATATAGTGCAGTAATGGTAGAGAGAAACATCAAAACTCGCCAGACTGCTTTGTAAGTTTTAAGCAAATGCAGGACACGGACCAGTGTTGCCTGTTGCTTGTGCACGAGCGGCAGTGGCATGGGAACCTTAGTCTGGAAAATACAGCTAAATTGTTAGCATGGTTGATGAGGTTGGTGATAAACTCTCGCTGGCTGACGTGGTAAGAACTGCTATGCAGAGTGAAAGGAAAAGAGTAACTAAGCAGCTGGACGAACATAGTGTGTGTGTCTGCCTATCCACCACTGAAGAATGCCACTTGGGATTGATCACACGAACAACCATAACCTTGGGAATGTTTAGCGCATCTTCTCCGGGCACATCGCGCTAGGCACCACTGCAACAGTCAAATGTGGATGAGTTTCGTGGAGATTGCACCTTCGTGGTGAGCGGTTTCTCGGTTCAAAGCAAACAGCGGTGGACCAGTGGGCCACAGTTCTAGTCTGCTTCCGTTGGTGCCTGCTAGTTACACTTATACTCCTTACTAATTCAGCTGAGCCTATGACTGGTAATCGGTTGCTTCTAGTGATGAGTTGCAAAGGGAAAAAGACATACCATTCCGCAATCTTGCTAGTAAGGAGATGCATCATTTAAGCTAGCCTGATCTTCAACGATTGACGTATGTGATGTGACTCTGAAGAAATGGGAATATGTCGCCCATCTTAGTTCAATGGAAGTCAGAGGATAACAAAAGCTGCATCGCATTATACTTTCCTCTCATCTAGTTGATGCACAAATCTGCTCATTTGGAACCCAATTTATGGTTTAATATTGTGAACAGCGCAGATAGTATTTGAGTGGTCCTGTGTGTTGCGTCGATCCTGTGCCATGTGCAATATGGGGTTACTTTAGACAGTGTGATTTTCAGAGCATTCCTTATTAATCAGAATGAGTAAAATATCAATATTTGTGTAAAGTTAAATTACACAACCACTCACCACAAACGCAACAATTGTTGCGAACCAGCTCTTCTTGATGCTGTCTTTCTTGTCTCAAAGCGGCAAATGTGTCCACGATGACTCCAAAAACAACATTCAGTATAATAATAATGACGAGCACGAAGAAGGAAAGGTCGTAAATTGTACGAAAGAGAAACCTCTCTTCCTGAAATAAAGTAAAGGTAAGATGATTCAAGAATCTTTTTAGTCATAGTGATGCTTTTATTTGCTACCGCTTCGCAGGATTTATAATAACACCCTAGTCTCCCTATAGGAGATCTAACTAGGTGCCAAGGTATAAACCGATCCAAATTGGGCTGTAGGAATTATTTATAATAGGGGTGACCAGTTTAAATTATCGCAAACTAGGTAGGATAGCGAAAGATGACCAAATTATACGAGTAATGATATTTAATTGGAATCTTTAAGGGGTGTTACATGGCTGAAGTGGGTTTGGTTTTATTCCAAGGCTTTCCTAGTTGAATTAGCAAACAAACTAGTTAACCTTGGGCAAAGAAAATTCAGAGAAGTTACATGACGCGCACACATACAGCTTTATCTGAGTTGTGTTTGTAGTATGCCTTCAACTCGAAGGGATCCTATCAGCCGAGTTCATTGGTGTATTTGAAAATTACCAGTTACCTAAAGCCTAGATTCTCTGTGAGCAGTGGCTACTTACAATGAGTTCAGTAGCCACCACAAAAAGTCTGCTGCTATTCAGATGATAACTTTGCAGTCAATATAAGTAAGCTATCATAAACCGTGTGAGCATTGCGGTACAATAGCGGAGGTGTTTCACCACCTCTAGCTGACATGTATAATGATGATGATGATGATGTGTGAGAGCATTAGCAGTCCGCAGTTTGTGAGTGCAAAGAACAATTTTATGTACTGCATGTTCCATTTGCAGATAGGAAATCTCACTCGGATGCTTGGCCGGCGAAGCACATCTGCAATCCCACCGCCGCTGCGTAGCCCTTCGTGAAGAGTGGTAAGGATGCACATACGTAGTGAATCACAGTGTCGCTCCTTACGCGCTTCGCTCACTGAGCTACTGTAGATGCAGTCCGTCAGATTCCCATCTTCTGTAAATAAAATTGGTATTGGGGAGTAAACACCGTTGGGGAAATCAGGGCCGACGGATTAAGTTATTATAGAAAAATGGAATATCAGTTTATTACTGGCCAACACTAAGTGATATTATGAGGATTACAATTTGGATCGTTTCAGTAAGGTAAAGCGCTGAGCAATAGAGCTAGCCCGCAGCTGGTGACCATTCGCGACCATATTTGTGGAATGTGTTCTGGAATCCTGATAGACAGACTTCGCTCAGTTCGGCCAAGTGCTTGCTACCAAAATTACGATGTAACTAAAGAAACTGGCTTGTCCAGGTTGAGTTTACATCGATCCAATAATACAAGTTCGGCCAGGCAATTACACCTCTTTATCATATGGCAAAGAGGGTGCCGGAATCTGGCATTTTGTTACCCTTTAAACGTTAGTGTAATAAACATCATTTTCTTAGAGACGTCAGTCAGTCGTTACTCTGTTTTCTATGTTTGCGTGTCATGCCAGGAAGCTCTTGAAGTATCTCTTTTTAAGTGAAGTTGATGATACGTGTCCTAGCTTATTGCGAACCGTATATTTAGAGCAACTTTTGGGACGTCTCACGAAGGGTGTGCGAACTAACTCGCGATTGTAGTCTATGGGACAACATTTCTAGGTCATTACGACACTTACCCTGATGTAGCGGCGTCCCGATGTCTGCTTTTGTCAACACACTTCTGTCTACACACAAAATTCTTGCACGAAACTGCGATTTAAGATATTGGCCGATACAAGTTATCCGTTTCACAACGTTGTATCTGAATGTCTGTCATCTTCGTCTACTAGGCAGAAGTACAAACTGATATATTCTCGCACACAAGCCTACCGCTCGTCAGTTATACCTAACGTTTCGCGTTTTCTGCGAGATCCCAACTCTGTCGTACAAGAGCAGCGGTTCGCAAACTTCCTGAGTCTTGGACCTCTTTTTAGTGGAAGTGCGTACGGCCGATCGTCTGAAATATCTTTAAGCACAGGACTAGGCTATAACAAACTGAAAATGAGTCGGTGTTCCGAAAAAGTCCATTAATGTACACAGAATAAACACGGGTGTTGGTTTAAGTCAGCAACAAAAAAGATGTGAATTGTCGGTATGAAAACAATGTACGTCACTCCCTAATTTGATGGATGAAATTATTTCTGACATTCAGTGCTGACTTCTTTGACGTTTGGTGTTATTGAGGAAAACCGCATCCTCAGACCTCGTGGAGCTACAAGTCTATTGCGGTACTTTGCCTTGTGTGTAGTGTGAAAGTGAACTTTCACAAGGATAAATTGCGGCAAATGGGAGAAGCATGGCGAAGGACGTCTTTGCCCATGCCTGAGTACCTCTTTCGTCTTACAGCAGAAGGCAGGCAGCGACACTTTGTGAAAAGTCTCTCGGAGAGAAAAATCGAATACCAACTACTACCACATCAAAATTCCACGATGACTATTTCCGCGACATATGTATCAATGTTCTTGTCCTCAGCTAACGGCTTGTCTTTATGTGTTCAAATGCTAAAATGAAAATAAATAAGTAAACACAAGAATTGCAATACATACCACAAATTTACTTACTTTGTTAAATCGAACTTGGAAGGAAGTATACAATAAAGTAAATAGTCACCTTTTGTTACCCAACACACTCGTCAAACCATGAACTTTCTATGCGTTGCTTCTGGGCTTTTCTAAGTGGGATCGCACCAGTGGGCTTCTCTTTCCGACTGACCGCTTTTGGGGCCTAGAGACTTTCGAAATGATCGTAAAACGGGGCCGTATGATTTACTTTTCGCCTCCTGTCTGGAGCAAAATCTGAGTTGTGCGAGCGTGCGTGGACGAAGGATGATTCACCCAGCCTTTACCAATCGGATCCTAGGAGAGTACCACACAACCTTACTGACATTTGACTGCTTCGTTCACTGAGGTTTCCAGCTTCTGCCAAACCCAAGTTCCTTTATGGAAGTAGTTTGGTTTACATTGGACAGATATTATTTAACAAGTTTTCACTGCAATTTTGTCGTCGAACTGTAAAATAATATGATTACGTCCAAAATATTCTAACTGAATTATAACATTTCTGGAAATCCCACAGACCCCTTGAAAGCATCACGCGGATCACACTGAAAAACACTATTCTAGTGCCAACCAACCGATCCGCAGTATGATGGTGTTTCTGTCCATTTTTTATCAACCCGCGTTTAGGGTACTGTTTTGTAATTAATTTATATTTTGGTGCGTTTCCGAGATCGTGTTTGTTGTGGCTTAATAGTTACCCATCGAAGTTACATAAAGCAATTTCTGACTAGGCTTGATTTGAGGGGTTAAAATTAAGGTAGACTTCAATGGAACAATGGATTTATGCGGGTATAAAAGCTAAAGCTTGACAAATCCCGTAGGGTGATCAGTGCGAAAATCATAGAAGTGTGAAAAATTCAATGGAAACCAATTCAGTAAAATCGTTTAACAACGAGTCACTACAAGCTTGTGGACTCACCGAGTTTGAAGTGTCAAAATAATAATCCACTATAACTCCGGAGGGGATAATGAGGTATGGAGTATTTGGTTAAAAGAGTCACCACCCCTAGAAATTCGCATGGGGCAAAGTGTTTGAGTTTGAAGCGTCAAAATATAAATCCACTGTTGAAATTTGCGTGGGGGAAAATTATTTTTAAAGTATGGATTTTGGATCTCTCAAAATTAGACTGTACTATGGGAGATAGTGCAATGAAGTGAGTGCACTATCAACTCGATTTTTGAACTCGATCAGGTTGGGTGCACTGACTACAGATTCTGGGAGAGCATTCCAGGCTTGGCAAACACGCACGGAAAAGAAATTCCGTCGACATTCCAAACGGCTGTACTGCACTGCCAGCTTCAGATGATGGCCTCTCAGATTGTTGTTGTTACTGAGCTCCAGCAGATGGCGGCAGGTATGATTGGGGTCTGTCAGAATCTGATAAGCCAAAATCAAATCTCCCCGTAGTCGTCGATATTGACCACTAAATATCCCGAGCAATCTCAGTCTGTCTTCGTAGCGTAACTGGCCTAAACCTTTCACGTTCTTCGTTGCGCGTCGTTGAGGTTTCTCTAAATCAGAGAGGTCTTTCCTCAGCCACGGCTGCCAGACTTGTATTGCATACTCCACGTGTGGTCGTATGTATGCACCTAGAAGTTGGTGAAAAACGGATGGATCGAAGCGTCCAAATGTGCGCCGGAGAAGGCCCAAATTTCGAATGCTCACGTTCGATGCTTTCTTTGCCTGGGCTGAACAACCAAGGTCGGACTGAATCAAGACTCCTAAATCCTTTTCCTCAGCAGTTGTGTAAAGCACATGGTCACCCAGTTTATAGAAAAATGCTGATTGGTGACGTAAGTGTAATACTCTGCACTTTTCTGTGTTGAGTGGGAGTTGGTTCTGAACTGACCACGCATACACCTTATCCAGATCCTCTTGAAGTATTGCGGAGTCGTCTGGTGTATTGATCGCTCTCCAGACCTTGATGTCGTCGGCATAGAGTAGGCAGTTGGAAAGAATGAGGGCCGCTATGTCGTCAATATACATCAAAAACAATCGTGGCCCTAGTACCGATCCTTGTGGTACACCACATTCGACTTGGATTGGGTGGGACAGGGACCCACGCACTTTTACCTCTAAGCTCCGGTGGAGAAGAAAGCTTGTGATCCATCCTAGGAGCGGATCACCAATGCCGAAGCTCTGAAGTTTGCAGATCAGGATTCCATGGTCTAGTCGATCGAAGGCCTTTGAGAAATCTAGGTAGACCACGTCCACTCCTGCACCGCTGTCAATTAATTTGGTCCAACTCGATCTTGCTAGCAGCAGATTTGTGGTGCACGATCGATTCCGTCGAAAACCATGCTGTTCATGTGCAAGGAAGGCAGACTCTTCTAGATAGGCTGTTAATACGTCAGCAACAATAGCTTCCATAACCTTTGAAAGGACCGGGAGAAGGGTTACAGGACGGTAGTTGGCTGGATCAGAACGGCTACCGCCCTTGTGAATTGGGGTTATGATCCCACATTTCCACATCTCGGGTACATACATCTGATCGAAGCAGCGTTGGAAGAATCGCGCCAGAGGCTCTGCTAAACTTTCTCCCATTACCGCAAGGGACTTAGGGTGAATTTTGTCGATTCCAGGAGAGCTGTGCTTACGCATACACAACAACTTCTTTAATACCATCCCCGCCGTGAAAGTTATGTGCGTAAGTTTTGGTTGTAAAACAGCTGCTGACAAAGGAACAGATGACCAAGGAATGCATTGAAAGTTCGAAGCATATTGCAGCCGCAAGGCGTTCGCCGCATCCTCTGTAGTCAGCGTCATGCCATCTGGCGTTTGAAGAGGAGGGATTCCCCGTTTCACCTTGCGCAGGTTGTTTACATGTTGGTAGAGCAGCTTATGATTCGAAACCATGCGCTCCGTCAGATGCTGCTGGTATGTCAGTTTATCCTCACGAACGAGTTGAGTGCAATGATTACGTTGAATTGCATAGGCCGTCCAGCTCTCCGTGCTCGGGTGTTCCTTATAGATATGCCAGGCCGAGTTCCTCACTGCCATACATTTCCGTGTCCTACTTCGCACAAATGAAACAGTCTTCTTCGAGTGGACAACCTTAGTTTCGGATGCCTCTTCGACGAGAGTGCTAAATTGGTTGACGAAATGTGGCCATGCGACTGTCGGTACTTCGTCTGTCAGAAAGTTCCAGTTGGCTGTCTCTGCAAGTCGAGCTAGCTCGTCGTACCGTATGATAACTCGACTTTCCCGTGTAGTATCCGCAGGGTATTCTGCGTAGCATATATAATCGAAGAGTAAAACTGCATGATCGCTGCAACCCAAAGGAGCGTCGATGATTACTTTCTCGACCATGAGTTCTTCGTTGGTAAATATCCGGTCCAGGATGGACGGCCTTTCTGCTGCTCTGAATCTGGTGGGATTGTCGATATGGCCATAAAGCGGAAAACTGGAGACAAGGTCTTGTAG